TCTTAAATGGCCTGGTATCCATGAGGTCAATCTTATGTTCGATCAAGTCCGTATGTCCTAGGTCAAAAGGACCTGAAGAAAATGCATGCTTCCAATTTCCGAGCACTTGGTGAACACGTAACAACTGCTCTTCGGTCAAATTATCAATGTCAATAACCACATTGAGCCACTCAGGTAATGAATTACTATCTTCTTGGTCCAAACATGCTTTACTTTGGGAAGCAAGGTTGTCGACCACTTCAGCCCGGGATACATTACATAAAAATGATTTAGGCCGGATAGTAAGAGGTTTTCCAGTGGTGTTACATAACTTAACAGGAACTTTGACACTCGACACTTGACCTTTGACCTGAATTATACGAGGGCAAACAGTGTAAGGCAGGTTTGTATTGTTACGGTTCTCAGTGACTAAGTCAGTAATTTGAGGATCAATCCCTCCGGCTATTCCATTTATAACTATCGTGGTGTAAGGTGCTACTTGAACAGGCTTTTTCCCTACACAATGCACAGCATAAGCTGTACTTATACCATTTATAGCAGTTTTCCACTCAGAGGGAACAATGAGGTCAGAAGATTCTAACTCTCTAGCAAAACGAATGATATTTGTGCCAACAATAACTGGACAGTTCTCGCTCTGAGTTGTATCAGGGACTACTAACATAAGGACATCGATTTCAACCGATTGCAAAAATGGTAAATTAACAGTACATTCAATATATCCAAGGTATGGTAAAGTTGATCCATTGGCAACAGTAACTTCAAGATCCAATGAGTGTAGACTGTTTAAAACAGGTTTATTTTCCAGCGAGTCATAGCTAGACTTAGCTATCGTAGAGATCTGCGACCCACTATCCACCAAAGTTTGGAATTCCTTACCTTGGACAAAAATTTTCCCTATATTCGACTGTCCCACTAGTCTACCAAGTATGTCCTCGTTTTGGCCTTTAAGTTTGTTTTCAACCCCTGATTGGCCAATACCAGAAGCCATTACTCGTTTGGGGAATTCTTCTTGGACTTATCTGACCATGGCTTTTGACCAGACTTTCCCCACCCTTTTCCTCTATAGCTACCACAACCACGACCTTGACTATGACCTTGGCTGTGACCTTGACCTTGATTCTGACTTTGACCACCAGACGACTCAAGTTTGCTTAAGATTTTATCGAATTTTGTTTGTATCTCAGAGGATAAATGCTCCTCAAGCTTCTTAAGCTTTTCATCAAACACTCTCTCTAAACTTGAGTTACTGGTCATTTGGGCATCACTCTCACAAGCAATCCCATGAACTTGGGCTTTTTTCGTAGAGGAGGGTGTGGATGAAGAGAGACTTATTTCCTTATCAACTGCCCTGACTCTTCCCAACAGCTCATCGAAATCAGTTAGTCTATCATAAAGATGCCTAGTTTGGCTCTTGAGCTTGTCACAACTGAGTGACGTCCAAAATTTGTGGCGCAAAAGGTCGTTTTTAGCAGCCGGTGCAAGCGAACCGTTCTCAATCGCTGATAATAATAATGATTCGAGTCTGCAACCAAACATTGTAATTGACTCAGTTGGCTTCTGACAGGAATTAAAGAATTCCTGCATTATCATTCCGTGAGTGGAAATATCCCCAAATAGGGTATCTAATTTTTTTTAAATTTCTGTAGGGGTAGCTCTATCTCCTAAAGAGAATAGGCTTTTCTTAGCTGTACCCTGCAAAGACCTACGTAAAGCCTGTAGTAACCTGCTAGTAGACACCTCAGGATCACCAACAAGGGAGCTTACATCATGTCTCCACTCAATATAGGTGACGTCCCCTTTCAGCTCATCCCCAGAAAACTGTGGCAGCTTAAGAAGGGGAGTATATGATGCAACCCCTACATGTTCATCGGGAGAGTGGTCTCCCCTTGAACTATGCCTATGCTTCACAGAGGGTGTTTTAGGACTCTCAAGGGAACCCATTGGTTCTATATGGTATTTCCCTAGGGCATGTAATGCTCGTAAGAGTTCCTCCTCAGAAACAGGTTTACCATCCTGACCTGTTATCTGCTCCTTAACTTCCACAGTTTCCTCCCCAGTACCCTCTTCCTTACTAGAAGTTGCCATAATTCAAATTGAGCAAATAAAGCAAGGTAGCTACAAGCTAGGGACTGGAAAAAGAGACCAGGCCAGTTACAAAAAAAATATAAGTAATGCAGGAAACAAAAGTGAGATAGCTCAGCAGCTACTGTGGTTGGGGTTAGCCCTACCGAACAGTGTAAACTGAACTGGTATTTAAATACAATCAAAGAAAACTTTTATAACTAGCCTCTTCATCCAGACTCTTGCAAGTAGGTTGTCAGGATGAATACCATCCTTATATAGAAAGTAATTTATTACTGGAGGGCGGCCTGTCCTTTTATACAACAACAAATCCCTTTTAAAATTTAGTGACAACACATTGGACCTGGAGTTGACCTCATGTATATATGAATTTAGCAAATCAATGTGCTCCTGAAGCTTGAGATCTTGTTCTATAAAAATCTCTGGGTTAGTATGTCCCTTAGATTTANGAGATCTTGTTCTATAAAAATCTCTGGGTTAGTATGTCCCTTAGATGTATTCCACACTTGTATAGAATATGGTGGGATTTCCAAGAAAACAATTTTTACTGATGGAAATTGACTCACAAAACTAGCATAGGAGTCTATCTGAGTATGTACATAGTTAGAACATTCCTCCTTTGTTTTATGGCTGATAGAAATGAAAGGGCCAAGTTTGGTTGTTAAATCACAAGTTCCAAGCCAAATGTACAAGACTATTTGGTTATGCCTGGTAACCAAGTTTGGAAGGAGTTTAGTTAAATTTCTATATGAAGAGTCAAAACGAGCTCCTGCCTTACAGTAAAACTCAATATCAAAATTAAACTGGGTTATCAGGTCTAAATGTCTTCTCAATGAAAAACCTTTGCTACTTGTGAACAGTACAGCCTTTCTGCTCAAACTAGATGGTACACTAGAGATTGGTTTTTCTACAAACTTTTGTAATTTACTTACACTCATTTGGGGACACAAGACTGTAAGACTGACATATACATGTACAACAGAAACAACTATATAGACACAATATTGAAGCTAGTAAGTATATAAAAGAGAGGCAAAATCCCAGGTGTAAATGGTACAGAATGTCACCATACTATAAAATAAGGGATAAACTTGCACACACACATGCACAGCACTCATTCATGAATAGTTCTTACCTTACAGGATAGGGTTTTAGGGATGCAGTGCGGGGAAGTGCAATCTAGAATCGAAACGGTTATGGCGAACAATGCTGGTCAGGATGGTGATGATCATGGATATGCGTTCCCTGGTAACCTAATATAAATTAAGATGAAACAATTAAATCATGTACAGTCACACAGCACAAATATCCTATCACAAGAGCACACATTTCCATTACTGAGAGAGTTTACATGCATAATTTACATTAATTTACCATTATGATACCTAATATTCAAATATTCTATATATTCTGAACCTACAAAAGCAAAATTTGACAAGGATTAACACATTTCCGATTTAGATAAAGAAAAATATTTAAACAGTTCATTTAACATTCGACAGCTCCATCCAGGACACAGTAGATAGTCAGTTTGTTTTGACGAAAGGTACAAACAATAGAAAATAACACTCTACAGCAAAGCAAAGTCTCAGCACTCTCCTGCTATATCATCTGGGTGTAGTATCGAACACCCAGAGTAACAGTACACACATGTGTAAGTATCCGAGCATTCCTGGGGAAACCCCTAACGGAGTTCCGGAAGTGCTCTCTACCATTGACCGGAGCACGGATTGACGTCCCAGCCGCTCATGTCGATTTCTGTGGCTCTATGTTGCATCTGTGATGCCCCCGGTTTCCGTCCTCTGCTGGTTTTTTTTTCACCAAGTCCCTACGTGGGCGCCATTTGTAAACCAGGGTCCAAATCAAGAACCAAGACGTGGTTACTCCGCACAGATTTTATTGCTTGATGATGTTTTCCGTAGAAACGGAAACCTGCAGAATGGAAAGTAATACACTTACCATTCTGGAGGATTTGAATATACAATATAAAATGAATATCACAGATATACGATTGGATTAATTAATGGTCTACTTACCAGGGAAACAGTAAAAGGTGTGCCGGCCAGGTGCGGAGTGACAGGTTTGGGGACAGGTGACAGGTATCGTGATACACTGAGCATGCGCGGACCATTCACACACTCACACAAGTCTCTCACAGCTCGTGCAGATTTCGCGCGCGCTGGCGACATTGTGTACTAAGTACACCCGGTTACATATATATACACTGTATATTTATAGACACAAGCGTATGCTTTCAAATATCTCACCATATATCCGCATGAGATTTGTGCATGTTAATTCTTATCTAACGTGCTTTTGGTTATTATGTTTTGAAAATTTCCTCATACCATATATTTAATTGCGATAGTAGTATATTTCAATGTGCTGATATTTTTCTTATGTTTTTGTTGTAATAATAGCTCGGGCCCGGCGATTTACCCGATACCACCCAATACTACCCAATAAAGAAAGTTAACACCCAATAAAACTGATATTCCAAATAAGTTTTCAATTAAAGTTAGATATTGGAAAAATTATAGCAAGATATATTTCTTCATTTCTGAAGTAATTATATCAATTATCACGGGAATGATATACAATAATTTATCGTTATGATATAAATCGACACTTGTAGTATTGGGTAAATCGCCGCGCCGCCGTGTAAATCATGTTTTTATTTTAGATGTGCTCTAATTATTAGGTGAACTTCAATAGTGCTTCAACTAGTCTCGTTTAAAAAATGTTCTTTATTTTCTAGATTTTTGCAATATTTTGAAAGATAATGATTTGGTATGTATGAAAAAGAAAATGAAAAAAAATATGCATGAGGTTAATCAATCAAATAATATGTAAAAAGATAAGAAAAAACATGAAAAAAAGACAAAAACAAACAGCAACAAAAGTATATGGCTCTTTACTGAGAGTAGATACGTATAATACATACGTCTCTGCTGAGAGGGCCTCCCCGTTGTAAGAGCTGGGCAACAACCCTTATTTCTTTGTTCAATATTATAAGTTACAAAGCCAGAAACACTGGTTCACACACTCATTAATTATTGATGTGATCGAAGGGAGGTAACTCGCACTTGAATTGGGCGGATAAGTGACAAAACAAATATGGCGGACGAGGAAGGACGGAAAACATTCTGACCCCAAAAATGGCTCATTTTGGAAAAGACATTGATCATTTCAGTTCGTCAAGAACTGTGAGGATCAAAGGATCTGAATTCGTGGACAATCACACGGTATACTATTTTAGAACAATGGTTGTGGTCAATCTGTTCACTGTTTTCGTGTTTATCATGACGTAATAATAATGAGTGTTTGTTTACAATCTGCAGCTGGCAGTGGGCAAGGTGGAAGTCATGGTACATGTACATGGACTCTGTCCTACTTAAATGCACACCACCATAAACCTTTCTGTAAATAATATCATAACTATAAATGAACCCATTTGATCTGATCTGAACATTACCAAGTGCATATTTTGATGAGTTATTCACAGCTCGGTGCCATTATTAATTCACTTATTGCTACATACATGTAACTAGTTTTACTTATAGATAATTTTCACTTAGTTCCTCTACACCGGACTCGTCGTTTAATTCCAGGGCTGGTCTGTCAGTCTGCCATGTAAATCTGTTCTAATTTCAGCTCTAGTCTATATAAATGTACTTGTAACAGCTCCTGTTTATTCCAGGCCTTGTGCAGTCTGTTGTTGAAAGTATTTCTGTTTTTGGTGCTTCTGGCAAATAGTTCCAAATTATGGCTACTCTCAGAGAAAGGAAATTATTTATCTCAATTAGCTTGATTTGGCTCTCAGTAGAAAGATCTTTCTGGTCTTCTTTCTTGAGCTGTTCCTGGCGTTGACATACTGTAGCTCTGGATTCATGCATGGCTGAGAATACTATTTGTATCTTTATCCTAATTAGGCCTAAGATATATCCCATTTATTATCTTGTTCGTTTCGATTCTATCATGTCACCTCTAATGTGACAGTATGCTTATGTTGGTAATTTTAGCTTCTTTAGCCTTTCTTCATAATAAAGGTCTAGCTTTCATTCCTGGTAGTTCACCCATTCATAAACACGGTTGTCATGTGTTGTGAAATTTAGTAACATATTCTTCAGATTTTAGTTTTATGCAATGATTAAATAGATATGAATATAAAAGAGGACGAGACTGTGAGCATAATTGAGCTCGCACCACAGGTCATTTGGGTCTAAATCCAGCTTGATGCCCTGAGTTGTTTCGCCCTAATTATATAAATGTATATTTTTAAGTTAATCATTTGGGGACATATATACATGTCCTGGACTGAATTCGATTTTAACTGGTAAATTATCAATACTATAATGTGTTTATTTTTTTATTGTTGTCCGATGTTGATTGCTTTGATCACACACAAGATAAGTATTTTGTATTAAATGTTATGTTTTTATGTTTTAGGTTTACACTGTAGAAGTATCTGTTGGATCCTACACTTGGATGGTTAAACACAGATACAATGACTTCCTTATACTACATGAGAAGGTACGTAAAATCTTCTTTTTAGGTAATGGCAGACCTTAGAATTGAAGGAGAAGGAGCTTGCCTCTAGCCCTGACATATAATCTAGGGGTTAGGCTAGAGCTTTAGCAGTGGACTAGTAGAATTGTGCATCCACATACCCTGAGGCTATTTAGTTTGGCAATATAAAATTATGTAATTCAAAATAGAAGTGTTACTGGTGTAGCAGTCACGTTGCCCCCTTCCCCGCTGAAAGTTTCCCCAGGAAAGAATCAGCTAGCTGATTTTCCCTGGGAAAACTTTCAGATAGGGAAAGAAATAACGTCAATGATAATGTTTTCTTTCAAACAGATAAATAACTTTGATGAATATGTGTCATGGTCTTACATCTTGTAATGTATACCCATTTACCATATGTTACCAGTGATAAGCCTGTGTCTGGTAATACCCCACCTTCCTTTCCACCTTAAACATGCCCGCCCCACTTTCTTTAGGTTTTTTGACATCAATATTTAAAAAATCACTTACTAAGACATTTTTTGTATTGTCAGGTTGTTTTTTGTGCATCCTAAGCTAATTTGTTAATGATTTTCAAACTCCGCCAACATTCATTAGATCTAAAACTTAAAAAATCTTGATAAAGTGGACCACAATAGACCTTTTGGTTATATTGTTAATGGGTACCTTTACTGATTTAAATAATGTTGACATTTATTCTAGATGTATTAGAGTTGTATTGAAAATGAATCTTAACATGTACTGTTTTATTCAGGCATAGCTTGCTACACATACACTGATAATAAAAATTAGGTTTTCCAGTGGATTATTTGGGAACTATTGTAATAACTATATAAAGACTATGTTGTGAAATTGTAAAATAAAATTGTAAGAAAAATAATTAAGAACATTTTGTTCAATGTTGTCTGTAATTATAATTCTTCGGATAATAATTTGTGAACCGCTTTGAGACGACCTACGAACTAGGTTGTGATAAAGCAGTATATAAGAACCTTAAATTATTGTTATTATTATTTATCTGATTGTTTTCTGCAGCTGGTTTCAATATGCAAGATAGACAAAACCTTGTTGCCACCAAAGAAGCTATTTGGAAACCAAAGCGAGGGGTTTATAAAGAAGCGCCAGGCAGAGCTAGAAGCTTACCTACAGACAGTATTGTACTATATGGCTCACAAAGTACCTCCAGTCCTAGCCAGCTTCCTGGAGTTCAGCAGATATGTAAGGACTCAGGTTTTCATTCAGGGTTAAACAAACCAACAGATCAATTGCCTGTAAATGTATAATGGAGCTTGTCAAAACAGGTTTCGATATGTCAGGGCATTTGAACTGTTTGTTAGCATGTAAATATATCAAAACTTATCGTATTTATCCAGCAATAAGCCCATGCCTGGTAATAAGCACTTCCCGTGTGAAATACAATTCAGAAGAAATGCTAACAAATGCTGATTCATTGTTCTTCTTTAAGCTGATTATTAGTTTTACACCCCAACTTTGAGTTAATGTGTTTGCTTCCTGAGCTCATTGTGGAATAAATATGGTATGATATGAATCTTGTTCGCAAAATGGCACTGCAGAGAAAAAAAAAATGAAAAAATGGTTGTGGTGGTTGGTTTACATATATTCAAAAAACATAAAGCATATTAAATTGCATGCATTTATATATATGTTTTGTGAACTACAATATATTGCTTCTTAGATTTATTATTTTTTAAGGCCAGGGTGATAACTCAGATTGCAGACATTATGTGTAAGGTAGAATAATATTGTCTAAAATGTCATGTTTTTA